TTTAAAAGCTTGATGCACTTGAAATCGGCTAATTTATTGAAATCAAATAAAGACAGTTCCTAAAAAAACGAGCAAGAAAGAGGTTTAAAGAATACAAGGATGAAACTGATGAAGTAAGGATTGCCCGTAAAATTATTGAAGCAAAACAGGTTCGATCTTATTTTATTAAGTCCTCCGACTCTTTGCATAATCAATAAAATATTTAATCACGTAATTAGGCATTGTATCGCCTTAAGAGGGCTAACGTATTTGACCTTAAGGCAGTAACTCGTGTGTTAGAGTGGACGTATGGGAGAAAAGGACAAATGAGACATAAAATGCTAGAGGTTAATTGTAAATTATTAAACACATTCCTTTTCCTAGTTAATACTTAATTAACTAGAAAAAAATTTCGTGGATTAACTAATAGTCAATCATCAATGAACCCAGCCCAGCACCAAAACCCATTGTTAGGGGATTTCCTCGGACTGCACCTCCTCGAATGTCTCCATCCCTTAAAACATTATTAGTTTCTCAAGGAAAATCTTTGTATCCGGTATTACCCGTACCAAAGCATAAACCCTTGTATCCGTCTCGGAGAGCGAATTTATTATGGCGGCATTACTCGAAAAATATGAAATCAATCATGCCACCTATTAATGATAAATTATTGGATGAAATAGAGAAAAAGGCAGGAAAAGGCACCCTAACAAGCGAAGGAGTTGGATGGCGTGAGTCAATCCCGTCAAATACCGAGTACAACATAGATGGAAAAAAATTCTTGACTCTTCCTCCAAATACTGGAGCCCCGAAGCACTCACGAGATCGGGTTAAAGAAGGCCCATATAAAACCTCTAATCCGCATAACCCTAGGCCTCGTTTCATACGCAGGATCTATCAGAGACTCTTGACCGATATCCCCATATTAAAAGAAAAAAAAATCGAATCGGAAAGTTCCACGGTCTTGGGTTCGCAAATCCCTAAGAATTTAGAAAATGTTGAAAAGAAATCGTCCATGGATCAAAAACATTATATTATTACAAAATCTCCATGGTCAAGAGGGCGTCCGGTTCCACTGGTGAATCCGAAGGATAGACAAGGGTTGAATGTTGAAGAAATAAAGAATTTCTTAGAAAGAAAATCTAAGAAAAGGTCATCACTCGGTTGATCTTGGTAAATTATTTCTATAAAAGAAAACGATAGTCATAGGTCTGTTTGTGCGTAGTTCATAAATTTATCATGGTTCAGAGTCTAAATTTCAATGCGATTTTTGGAGTCTTCAAAGTCTTAAAAAGACCTCAATTGTTAATCCCACACATGATCGTGAATGGTAGAAAAAATTCATCAGTGAAGAATCTCTAAATTCCATAAACTCTAAATTTTTCATTCGTTTCAGATATTCGCGATATAAATTTTGAGTTATTAAAAAGTAAAGGTATACAAGTATTGGCTTTCGACAAAGACAATACGCTCACCGCTCCATACATTGATAAATTACATGAACCTTTTGAGGTAATCTCTAAGTGGCCTAGTGCAGATAAACGATATTTTGAATTGATTTTTCGTAAATAAAAAAAATACTTAAGGCCGCGTGGGAAGAATGCAAAAAGCAGTTTGGGAAGGAGAATATTGTAATCATATCGAATTCGGTCGGAACCGCAGATGATCCTGGATATAAAAATGTACGAGCTTTTTTTATTTCCATGACTAAAAAAAACTCTTGAATTCTTATTACTGAAACAGCGTATGTCTGGACAGGCACGGAGTGTGGAAGAATCTTTAGGTGAGGTGATAATCTCAGGATTTGCAAATATCTTAAATAACATCTTATTCACTAGGTGTTCCGGTGTTAAGACATAAATCGAAGGTTCGGATCATCGCTTACAGAATTTGCACACAGACAGATGAACATAATATCTTGTATAATTAGAAACCTGACGGGGGACCCGAATTGATCGCCCACTTTGTTTCTATTCCTCCCACTAAAATCGCCATTATTGGCGATCGTCTGCTCACTGATGTTTTGTTCGGAAATATGAACGGGATGTTTACTATCTTCACAAGAAAGGTTGT